AAGCTCGGGGTTTTTTTTTTTACTTTGAGACTCTGAAGCAAGAAAAATAATATTAAACAGCAGCTGCTTAAAAAAGTGGATCGTTTTTTTTTAATTGATGTGGCCACTTTTTATTAATTAAGGAGTATACTTTGTTACACTTGTTTATAATAAAATTATTTGATAACTTACACTGATCAACAAACTGGATTATCATAATTTTTAGTTTATCTTGGTTGCGTAATCATTAAATCTGTAGAACCAGAACATCTAATATGGCTGGAGAATAACAAACTAGTAGACTCTGGATGTGTATGTTAGCAATAGCTTTTTATTTGGACTAGTACAATAAATACTGGAAAAATTACACAAGAAAAAAACATTTCAATAATAGAAAAATTAACTTTCTAGCTTTGCTCTAAACATCGAAAGAAATCACAATTCGTCACTGACTTAAACAATTAGTCTCAAATGTGTAGTGATTTGCTTTCAAACTGAAGATTTTCCTCTGTTGTGACAGAAAGAGAAAGTCCATAATCACGTCACTGCCATGAAAACGTTCATACATCCTACACCAAATAACACTTCATTCTGACTAAAATAGGATGTGATTTGCACTATGAACTGAGCTTGTGTGTAATGTGGACCTGGCCACAAGAATTTACTACAACTAACATCTGAAGTATTAAAGCAGTCAATCAATTACAGAGCATTTTGGGAGAACATATACATCTGAGAGACACCTGGAATAAGGAATGTTGGTACTATCCTCAAAAAGCGGATTAGAAACGTCAATACAATATTAATACTCCAGTTATTGGTCTACAGTTAAGCAGCGAAGCATCATTACAGTACGAGCTGAGATGAATCCCTCTGGATTGCCGAGCATTTCACATCAGTGTCAGATTTGCATTTTGCTTTAAGCTTGTGCAATATATTTTTAAAGTAACAAGTATTTTATAATTAACTGCTCTAACTTCAACATTAACTAGTCAATTAACCAGCTCTCTTAATGGTTGCTCTCATCCAGGAATGTTCTTTTTCATACATATCTTCCCTTTTAAATAAACATCAATTGCACAGTTATTTCAGAATAAGTTTAGATGTTCAGCACCAACAAGAGAACCGGCGTATATCATTCAGAAAAGAAGAACAATGCTACAGTAAACATAAGCGATTTGAACTAGTACTGCTAAAGCATCAGTAACCGCTCACAACTGGTAAACAGCAATCTCAGCTATGTGCGTAACTAGAATCCCAACAGCTAATATGTGGATTTGAATACAGTGAAGTGACCTTGACTTGCAGTCCGCATCATTAGGTTGGATTGACGAAACCTTTAGCAGACTTATTAGGCAGGTTAGACAGTGCCAGTGATCACTACAGCTCTATGCTCTCATGCTAGAAACCAGTGACATTTTAGTTTTCACAGTAACATATGATGATTTATAGAAGACAATGAACAGCTGATTGAATCTTAACCGATGAAGCAAATAAACAGACATGCGTTTTTGTTCCCAGCTGGAATAAAGAAGTAAAGGGTGATGAGCAATTGAGATTTGTAGAGAATGAGAAGGAAAAGGCTGTTGCATGGGTGAGAGGTATGAACAGATGACAAACGTGCATGCTTTAATACGCCGGGACACAGTTTTGGTTTGTCAGGTGAAAGCAACAGAGTAAGGGTGAAAAAAATAATAATAAAAGAGCGGGAATGTTCAGCCCTCTCTGGTGCTGACTCTGGGTTCAGCCAGTGAGCTGTGGATGATGCCTGAGATGGACTCCACACCCTCGCCCTCTAGGAAGGTCTGGTGGTCTCCCTCGATCACATGAACCGACACCTTCCCATCACACACCTGCAGACATACCATAATCCAATTATTAACACTGCAGGGATGCATTATAGCAACAAGACTTTCTCTCAGCATGATCTCCTTCCCAGATTCAGAAGCACTTCCTGTGCAATTATGCTTGCCATACACAGAACATGTTTAGAGCTAGATCTCAAAGGTGATCACAGTGCAAAATGTCCCCAAATAAATAATAACAACAACAAATATTCCTGATATAGCTTGAAGAATTATAAATCACAATATAAAAGTCAGAAGTATTCAGTAATATTATTAAAAGTAATAAGTATATTATTTCTTTAAATTGTTTTCTTATTTGAAAAATGAGTTAAAATACACTACTATTCAAACGTTTGGGTCATTTTTTAAATAATTACTTTCATTCAGCAAGAACACTTTTTGAAAAAAGATGTGACAGTTAATGCTTTAGCCACAAAAATATATATAAAAACATTCTACTGTGATGATAATATTAAAACCTCAGCACCAGTGCTTTTGTCAATTTTATTATTTTTAATTTTCTATTTAGCTTTCATTTTTATTTATTTCAGTATTATTTATTATAAAATTTCAGTTTAGTAATTTTAGTACTTCAACGTATTTTATTTCAGTTAATTGCAAAGGCATCGTTTTAAATTTTCAAATGTTAAAGTTTATTTAATTTATTACTTTTTTATTCAGCAAGAACACATTAAAATGATCAAAAGTGACAGTTAATGCTTTAACCACAAAAAAAAATTAAAATAATATATATATATATATATACACATTCTACTGTGATGATAAAACCTCAGCACCAAATCATGAGACAATTAAGACTACAATATCATATTTGTGGTCCGTATCTTTACCTTAAGTCAGAAGTATTCAGTAATATTATTAAAAGTAATAAGTATATTATTTCTTTAAATTGTTTTCTTATTTGAAAAATGAGTTAAAATACACTACTATTCAAACGTTTGGGTCATTTTTTAAATAATTACTTTCATTCAGCAAGAACACTTTTTGAAAAAAGATCCAAAAAAGTGACAGTTCATGCTTTAGCCACAAAAATATATATAAAAACATTCTACTGTGATGATAATATTAAAACCTCAGCACCAGTGCTTTTGTCAATTTTATTATTTTTAATTTTCTATTTAGCTTTCATTTTTATTTATTTCAGTATTATTTATTATAAAATTTCAGTTTAGTAATTTTAGTACTTCAACGTATTTTATTTCAGTTAATTGCAAAGGCATCGTTTTAAATTTTCAAATGTTAAAGTTTATTTAATTTATTACTTTTTTATTCAGCAAGAACACATTAAAATGATCAAAAGTGACAGTTAATGCTTTAACCACAAAAAAAAATTAAAATAATATATATATATACACACATTCTACTGTGATGATAAAACCTCAGCACCAAATCATGAGACAATTAAGACTACAATATCATATTTGTGGTCCGTATCTTTACCTTGTGCAGTTTGTAGTCAGATCCTAAACCATCACCGTACTCGCTGCTGGCCTTGGCTCTCAGCAGGGTGACATTGCCGTGATACTTAGAAGCTGGAACATAGCGGTCGGCAGCCTTCAGTTTGTGGTAAAATGTAGAAGCAGCAAAATGGAGCATATCTCGGCTGACATTCTTATGGCTGGATGTGATCAGATCAACAGCCTTGTTCACACGGGCCTCCAGGTCTGACAGAGGTAACAATGTCTCCAACAGCTGTGTGAAAGATTAAAAAGACAGCATTAACTTTAGCACTGACTGAACTGTAATGAGTTAAGTAATGTCTATTTGGAAAAGCCCATTTTAAATAATTTTAAAGAATAAAGGATCAAAAATCTTTTCAAGAATGAATTACAAAGTAACAGTTGTTCATGTACCTTGTTGTACTCAATGCCAGTGAACTGTTGGATAAAAGCACACAGAGCTTCAGTCTCTGCCTCAGACTCCTTGCCAGGGGTCAGTTTGGCTCTGTAACGCTGTCAGAGAAATAACAGAAATGATGACCATGTGACCTAGCATAGCACATTTTTATGTTTTTTGAGCTCTTTTACTGCACCTGTGTATAAGCTGCCACATAAGAGTGTGAGCCGTCAAACAGGAAGAGGTATTCCACAGGGCATTTGGCTGCCTGCAGCTGTGAGCACATCTCAAAAGCCACACAAGCACCAAACGAGTAGCCAGCAAAGCGATACGGCCCCTCTGGCTGCACCTGCCTCACGCACTCAATGTAGTAAGCAGCAAGATTCTGGATACTGTCTAAAGGAGCGGCTACAGATGGACAAAACACATAAAACAGAAAAATATATAACAGGACTGAATTTGAACAAATAAATAAAAATATCATTAAACATAACTGCATTTTAAACAAATATTACTGAAAGGAATTTAAACCACACAAAAGGCAAACACTATCCAGTAATATCACTTATAACAGTAAAGTTTAAAATCAAAGATATTAATAATTATTATGAATAGATAACACACACATACATATATATATATATATAACTTCAAAAATCATGTTTTTATTGTGTTTTATCGTTAACTGTTTTTTAGTTATTTTTACTTGATCAAAATAACCCAACTGCAGTTTGATTGAGATTAATTGGAATGCATAATACGCCGGGACACAGTTTTGGTTTGTCAGGTGAAAGCAACAGAGTAAGGGTGAAAAAAATAATAATAAAAGAGCGGGAATGTTCAGCCCTCTCTGGTGCTGACTCTGGGTTCAGCCAGTGAGCTGTGGATGATGCCTGAGATGGACTCCACACCCTCGCCCTCTAGGAAGGTCTGGTGGTCTCCCTCGATCACATGAACCGACACCTTCCCATCACACACCTGCAGACATACCATAATCCAATTATTAACACTGCAGGGATGCATTATAGCAACAAGACTTTCTCTCAGCATGATCTCCTTCCCAGATTCAGAAGCACTTCCTGTGCAATTATGCTTGCCATACACAGAACATGTTTAGAGCTAGATCTCAAAGGTGATCACAGTGCAAAATGTCCCCAAATAAATAATAACAACAACAAATATTCCTGATATAGCTTGAAGAATTATAAATCACAATATAAAAGTCAGAAGTATTCAGTAATATTATTAAAAGTAATAAGTATATTATTTCTTTAAATTGTTTTCTTATTTGAAAAATGAGTTAAAATACACTACTATTCAAACGTTTGGGTCATTTTTTAAATAATTACTTTCATTCAGCAAGAACACTTTTTGAAAAAAGATCCAAAAAAGTGACAGTTCATGCTTTAGCCACAAAAATATATATAAAAACATTCTACTGTGATGATAATATTAAAACCTCAGCACCAGTGCTTTTGTCAATTTTATTATTTTTAATTTTCTATTTAGCTTTCATTTTTATTTATTTCAGTATTATTTATTATAAAATTTCAGTTTAGTAATTTTAGTACTTCAACGTATTTTATTTCAGTTAATTGCAAAGGCATCGTTTTAAATTTTCAAATGTTAAAGTTTATTTAATTTATTACTTTTTTATTCAGCAAGAACACATTAAAATGATCAAAAGTGACAGTTAATGCTTTAACCACAAAAAAAAATTAAAATAATATATATATATACACACATTCTACTGTGATGATAAAACCTCAGCACCAAATCATGAGACAATTAAGACTACAATATCATATTTGTGGTCCGTATCTTTACCTCGTGCAGTTTGTAGTCAGATCCTAAACCATCACCGTACTCGCTGCTGGCCTTGGCTCTCAGCAGGGTGACATTGCCGTGATACTTAGAAGCTGGAACATAGCGGTCGGCAGCCTTCAGTTTGTGGTAAAATGTAGAAGCAGCAAAATGGAGCATATCTCGGCTGACATTCTTATGGCTGGATGTGATCAGATCAACAGCCTTGTTCACACGGGCCTCCAGGTCTGACAGAGGTAACAATGTCTCCAACAGCTGTGTGAAAGATTAAAAAGACAGCATTAACTTTAGCACTGACTGAACTGTAATGAGTTAAGTAATGTCTATTTGGAAAAGCCCATTTTAAATAATTTTAAAGAATAAAGGATCAAAAATCTTTTCAAGAATGAATTACAAAGTAACAGTTGTTCATGTACCTTGTTGTACTCAATGCCAGTGAACTGTTGGATAAAAGCACACAGAGCTTCAGTCTCTGCCTCAGACTCCTTGCCAGGGGTCAGTTTGGCTCTGTAACGCTGTCAGAGAAATAACAGAAATGATGACCATGTGACCTAGCATAGCACATTTTTATGTTTTTTGAGCTCTTTTACTGCACCTGTGTATAAGCTGCCACATAAGAGTGTGAGCCGTCAAACAGGAAGAGGTATTCCACAGGGCATTTGGCTGCCTGCAGCTGTGAGCACATCTCAAAAGCCACACAAGCACCGAACGAGTAGCCAGCGAAGCGATATGGCCCCTCTGGCTGCACCTGCCTCACGCACTCAATGTAGTAAGCAGCAAGATTCTGGATACTGCCTAAAGGAGCGGCTACAGATGGACAAAACACATAAAACAGAAAAATATATAACAGGACTGAATTTGAACAAATAAATAAAAATTAATAAATAAAATAATCATTAAACATAACTGCATTTTAAACAAATATTACTGAAAGGAATTTAAACCACACAAAAGGCAAACACTCACTATCCAGTAATATCACTTATAACAGTAAAGTTTAAAATCAAAGATATTAATAATTATGAATAGATACACACACACATATATATGAAGGGTTTATTTGCAAAAACAGATAACTCCGTTTTTTTACATTTTCAAAAATCATGTTTTTATTATGCTATCATGTTTTTATTGTTTTATCTTTAACTGTTTTTTAGTTATTTTTACTTGATCAAAATAACCCAACTGCAGTTTGATTGAGATTAATTGGAATGCACAATGAAAAAACATACATATATACACACGTACATCTAAAAAAAATTTGAATATCGTAAAAAAAAACATTTTGTTATATATATATATATATATATATATATATATATATACACACACACACACGTGCATCTCAAAAAATTTGAATATCGTAAAAAAAATATATATAAAGTTACAACTCGCTGCTGGCCTTGGCTCTCAGCAGGGTGACATTGCCGTGATACTTAGAAGCTGGAACATAGCGGTCGGCAGCCTTCAGTTTGTGGTAAAATGTAGAAGCAGCAAAATGGAGCATATCTCGGCTGACATTCTTATGGCTGGATGTGATCAGATCAACAGCCTTGTTCACACGGGCCTCCAGGTCTGACAGAGGTAACAATGTCTCCAACAGCTGTGTGAAAGATTAAAAAGACAGCATTAACTTTAGCACTGACTGAACTGTAATGAGTTAAGTAATGTCTATTTGGAAAAGCCCATTTTAAATAATTTTAAAGAATAAAGGATCAAAAATCTTTTCAAGAATGAATTACAAAGTAACAGTTGTTCATGTACCTTGTTGTACTCAATGCCAGTGAACTGTTGGATAAAAGCACACAGAGCTTCAGTCTCTGCCTCAGACTCCTTGCCAGGGGTCAGTTTGGCTCTGTAACGCTGTCAGAGAAATAACAGAAATTATGACCATGTGACCTAGCATAGCACATTTTTATGTTTTTTGAGCTCTTTTACTGCACCTGTGTATAAGCTGCCACATAAGAGTGTGAGCCGTCAAACAGGAAGAGGTATTCCACAGGGCATTTGGCTGCCTGCAGCTGTGAGCACATCTCAAAAGCCACACAAGCACCAAACGAGTAGCCAGCAAAGCGATACGGCCCCTCTGGCTGCACCTGCCTCACGCACTCAATGTAGTAAGCAGCAAGATTCTGGATACTGTCTAAAGGAGCGGCTACAGATGGACAAAACACATAAAACAGAAAAATATATAACAGGACTGAATTTGAACAAATAAATAAAAATATCATTAAACATAACTGCATTTTAAACAAATATTACTGAAAGGAATTTAAACCACACAAAAGGCAAACACTATCCAGTAATATCACTTATAACAGTAAAGTTTAAAATCAAAGATATTAATAATTATTATGAATAGATAACACACACATACATATATATATATATATAACTTCAAAAATCATGTTTTTATTGTGTTTTATCGTTAACTGTTTTTTAGTTATTTTTACTTGATCAAAATAACCCAACTGCAGTTTGATTGAGATTAATTGGAATGCACAATGAAAAAACATACATATATACACACGTACATCTAAAAAAAATTTGAATATCGTAAAAAAAAACATTTTGTAGCATTTCAAAAAGTGAAAATTTCATATATTCTAGATTTATTACATGTAAAGTAAAACATTTAAAGTTTTTTTGTTCTAATTTTGATGATTAGAGCTTACAGCTCATGAAAATCAAAAATCCAGTATCTCAAAATATTATATAAAAATAAAAAAAGAACTTTCACAATATTCAAATTTTTTCAGATGCATACATATATATATATATATACTGAGTTTGCATGATTAATATCATGATGAAACCGAAGTAGTGACAAATGCTTTTCCCCCATATTGTGACAACGGATTATCAAAAAAGAGAGAAAAAAAAAATTATTGTAGGGCAGGGACTTGAGCATATCTATCAGTTGCTGATTGGAATTTGAGATGTGTGCGTTGTACTCAAAATGAATGCAAACTTGCAGTAAGAGGACTAAATGATTGGCTAAGTGTTGCATATGCCACCTGAGAGAAGGTTGAAGTTTCTTGGCTGATGTGGAGTTATGAAGGCTGAGTTATGACATTTTTGATGAAACATTACAAGGTAAATTATTTCCATAAAAAAAAAAAGGATCATATACATGGATGAATAATTCACAGTAAGAACTATAACAAGTATTGTCTAAACAGATATTGTGAATTTTAATTTTATGCTGACTTTATTAATCACCTTTAGAGTCTCCACCCATTTATAGTCAGTAGGGTCCACAAAAATAAGGATAGGTTGATCCTGAGGGGACTGTTGGCGCTGATGGCAGAGGAAGAGAGCAGAGCCGTAGAAGGACTTTCTCAGCATGACCACATTTAAAGAGGCCTTTTGGAAGAGCTCCTCCCATTCAGTCTGAAAACAAAAAACTAATCCGGTTACAACCCGAGAACGATGCAATGAGACAGACAAAACAAATAAAATAAAAGAACAGACAAAACAATGCCAAGTTATGTAATGTTGTTACTTAAATACAACTTTGATTTATGTTTAATGTATATTTAATTTTCATTAAATATAAAATCAATTACAGCTAAAATAAATGTTTCATTGATGTCATTTATGTTTCATTTAAGCACGTTAAAGTTTTTAAGCACACACCTGTGTCAACAAACCCTCCTGGTTGTTTTGAGATGTGAGGAAGGCTACCGTCTCTCCCAGTGTGTCTCCTCTCAGTAGGGTGTGAAGCAAAACAAAACCGCCTTCCCTCGCAGCTGAAGTCAGGTTCTCTATCAGAAGTGCAGGGTTGGCCGTGTGCCCTGTCGCACAGTTACACACAACCAGGTCAGCCCCATCCAGACTGCCCGTTGCTGGGCCCTGAAGAGGGTCCCACTGAGCAGTTGAGATGCCCTGCTCTTCCAGGGAGCTCTGGTGAGCAGAAAGCTGGTCAATGGAGACATCTGATGCCGTGTAGTCAAGACGCAACATTGGCTGGATATTGAGGAGACCAACAGCCCGAGAAAACACATGACCATCGGCGGCTAGAGCCTGAAGGAGAAGAATACATGTTGAGAACTTCAACCGTGTCATCCACCCCTGCCTATTTTCATCCTAAATAATAAAATTCACCACACCTCCACAACTTTGAGTTTTCCAGGAGTGCTGTTCTCAAGGGCCGTGTCCAAGCAGTGACGTAACGCCTGGGAGTCTAGCAGGCCGTTGAGCAGAGGGTCCTGCAGCAGACAATCTCTCTCCTTCTCCACCGTCTGTTCCAGCTCAGAGCGCAGGTTTCCGTTCAGCTCCAGTCCGCACAGCACAGAGAGCAACCGTAACAGGCCTTTCTCTGCCTCTGCTCCAATCAGCTGGCTCTCTGTTGCACCTTCTAGCCCAGGGATGGAGATCTTCACTCCCTGATTGGCCAGCTTCCTCTGCAGACGCTGTACTAGACCTGCGAATACAACATGGGAAAAGTAAGTACAGTGCCACTGAAATAGAGGAAAATACCCCAGAAAATTAAAACTGGTGACAAAAATGAAATCATTTTAGGTCCATCTAATTTTACAAAAACGATGAATATAAAACATTATAAATGTCTTTCGCTTTCGATCAATTTAATGTTACGAAAAAAAATTCTGCTGTTCATTTGAACTTTCTATTTATCAAAAAATCTTGAATAATAACAAAAAAAAGTGTTAATAACTGTTTTCAACATTGATAATAATAATAAATGTTTCTTGAACACCAAATCAGCACATTATAATGATTTCTGAAGGCTGAAGACTGCTGAAAATTCAGCTTTGCTATCACAGGAATAAATTGCATTTCACAATATTTTAAAATAGGAAATAGTTCTTTTGAATTGTAATAATATTTCACAATTTTATTGTATTTTTTATCAGCCTTGGTGCGCAAAAAAAAAAAAAAAAAAAAACCCCTTCACACATATATAAAAAATTGTTACCACAAAATGCCATGCTGCATTTCTCAATGAAATGAAAATCACAACGTGCCTTTGCAATGCCTCAGTTGGTCTCCAAGTTTCTCACTGGTTCTCAGGCAATCTGAGTCCACACAGGGAACAAAGGCAAACTCCTCTAAAGTGGGTGGAGTCTGCTGCTGTTGGCGACGGGGTGCTACGGTAGCATGAAGCCCACAGATCTCAACTCCTCCAGCTGTTATGTTGTCCAGGTAGCGGTTAACATGAACATCCACAGCTGAGGACAAGAAATTTTGGTCAGATACATTTAAACTTAGGACAGGTTACATCAGCCTTCAAGTAGATGGCGTGTCTAATACCTTTCTGGTCATCTGCATACTCGTTTACCCTCTCCTCATGAAGTCTGGGGTCCACACACACAGAGCGGATGCGAGTAGGAAGTCTCAAGCTGCGACCAGACAGCCCCACTACGATCATCTGCAGCATGGTGTCTAAAAATGTCACCCAGTTACCCGTCCAGTGAAGCTTTCCATAGTCACCTGGAAGAACCAGAATACAAAGAGCTCAGGACTGGCCAAATAGTGTCTTGGCCATAGCAAAATCGGGATTGGGATCGGGAAAGGTCCTCGAGTTGGAATTCGAACTCAGGACGCCCATAGCACAACAGCGCTGTATGTCGGCGCACTGCCCACAAGGCTATCGGCACCAACAGTTTAAGATGCATTTGAGGGGAATTACCAGAATTGTTAGACTCCAGGATTCCCTGGAAGGTCTTTCCGTAGTCATATCCGCGCAGACGCAGCTCTTTGTAGATGTCCCTGGCTTTCAAAAGCAGTTTAGGATCTTCCTTGTCTACAGCCATTGGTTTATTCAACTCAGCATGGAAAGCATCAAGTCCAGCATCCTCCAAGACACTCACCTTACCTGAGACCGCAAGGATATCAGTGTGATCATGAGTCTTAAATACTATATTTGTCAGTTTACAAATATCTTGTTTTACTCGAAAACATCATGATATAAGTTGTGAATGGTCTCTCTTGTTGACTGGAAACTCACCACTGACAGCCAGATTTCCATTCTCGGACACCTCAAAACGGTTAGTGGCGGGCATGAGTCGCACCTCCAGCTGGACAGACCCTGTGATGCAAAAACAATCTGGTTAACGCTAAGTTACAAGGACTAGCTAACAACTAATCTGTTCTATTTAGTCCACAATATTGAAGTACACTACAGTTTAAAAGTTTGGGATCAGTAAGATTTTATGCTCACCAGGGCTGCATATATATGTACAAAATAGAGAAAAACAGCATTATTATGAATCAGTATTATAATTTTAAAATAACTGTTTTCCATTTTAATACTTTTTAAAATATAATTTATCCCTGTGATGGCAAAGCTACATTTTAACAGTTGCTCCAGTCTTCAGGGTCAAATGGTCCTTCAGAAATCATTCTGATATATTGATTTGGTGACCTTATTATTATCATCAATGTTGAAAACAGTTATCCTGCTTTACATTTTTGTGGAAACCATGACACATCTTTTGCAACATTCTAAATGTCGTTACTTTTGATCAAATTAACGTGCATTTGCTGAATAAAAGTTTTAATTTCTTTATTAAAAAATCTTACTGACCCCAAACTTTTAAACAGTAGTGCATTTTTAGTAATCATTTATATTTTTTCCACCTCAGAATAAGAAATAAGCCATATAAGAGTGCAATAGTAGATAGACAGAAATTTGTCATCATTGTGAGATATAGTGACTACCAGAAACTTCAGGACCAAAGAATCTCAGACTTACAGTACAAAGAAAACAAATATTTTACCCGTCTTGGGGAGGATGGTGGCTCTGTGGATGGTGACGTCTTCAAATATAACAGGTGTGTGCTCCATGACTGCACCCAGAGATCTCATCAGAGTCCTCCAGGCCAGAACCAGGTATCCTGTGGCTGGGTACAGCACCCGACCATCAATGCAATGTCCAATCATGTAGTAATCAGGAGACTCTGGGTTCATGTCTGCACAAAACATTCAAAAATAAATGACATGACATGACACCAAAGATGAGAAAAACACTAATTTCAACTTCACAACTACCCACCGATATTGTACACAGTGGCTGAGGTGGATCCCCCTGAGCCAGCAGGGAAGTCCTCCACCTTGGGCACATCCCAGACCTGGGAATGATCCCACTGAATGTGAGGGGAGATGAGTGGGGTCCCGGTCGGAACAGGGTATTCAACAGTTGGGTACAATTTATTACTGTCTACATTAATTCTGCAGATGCAAGAGAGTGAGCATCAATCATCAAATTGATGGAAATGCTGACAATTTGAGGTCAAAACAGCTAGGAAATTAAGAGTACAAAAACCAACCCATTCATGTAGATTTTGCCCACATGAGAGAGGAAGAACTCCAGATTGTTGGCGTGTCCTCTTTTCACTAGGGGGAGGATGGAGCAGGTGGGTTTTAGGCTCCGCTTCAGGATGGCCTGAAGATATATCAAGAGTATGTTAATAATAGAAATGGATCTACATTTGAATCTTCAAGACATGTGTATTAAGGTTAATTCCCTGTTACCTGCAGTAAAGCATGTGGGGCAATTTCTACTACCACAGCATTATCCGGCACAAAGTTCAGTCCCTCTTGAAAGAGCACAGGGCTGACCAAGTTATTGACGTGGTACTCTGCAGATGAGTAGAGCGCTAGTGGGCTCTCCCAGTCTGTCTGCGGGATGGACGTGCTGATCCAGCGTGCTGAACGAGGCCTTGGGCTTTTTATTACCTAGAAGACACACAGGAAGTCAGTGTCTATCTGTGCTGAGGTTTTAAGATGCTAATGTCCAGTAGAGGGCACTGTGACACTGCAATGCCTCACCAACTCACATTCTGCAGTGCACATAGAAGGGCTGGAGCAATAGAGGCCATATAATAGGAGTGGAAGGCCACACCGGCACTGCGCACTTCTTTGGCAAACACACCGCTCTCTTTCAGCTGGGCAACAAACTTGCTGACAGAGTCCTGCATAACCAAACACTTGCTGTTAGGTACTAGTATACATACGATCATTCTATATATTTAAATTCAATAATTTCTCAAAACCTAAAAAAACATGTTTACATGTATAGAATTAATGTTAGTTTGGTATTTAAAAACACACTTTTTTATACATTTAAAATAAGGCTGGATAGACTGGAGAGTAAAGGCTACTGAATTCTACTTTGCCATCATAGGACTAAATTAAATTTTAAAATACATTCAAATAGAACAGTTATTTTCCATGTAGTAATATTTTAACATTTTTTTTTTTTTACAATATTGCTATTAATACGGTATTTTATAAAACATTCCACAAAATAAATGTAGCCTTGATGAGCATAATACTTATATATATATATATATATATAAAAAATTCTA